TTCGTCGGATTATTCGTCGTTATATTCACGTTCACATTATATGTTATAAAGTCTATTATTAAGTCTTAAGAGAAATAGGAATACTAATCGATAAAATATTGAGGTGATATCAGCGTGTATTTTCCTGCACATAAAACTACCCTAATAACCAATAATTGACAGGCGCGACAGATGATAGTAAAAAATAGTTAACGGTTATTACTCAGCGTTAACGACCCATATCATCATCAGACGGCGCCTTGGATTGGCTAACACGGAAGTTCAAGAGGTGACCTTATGACCTATAATGTACTTCCGGAATGTTAAGTAGGGCAAATTAGTAGCTTCCCCTCAGTAAGTTCCAGGCAGCTGCATCTGGTGCCGTCAACGCACCTTACAATCTGATATCTGGGTCAAGTTCGCCCTTGATGTGTCGCTAACATGAAACACGAACGTTAGAATAAATAAGTAAAGAGAAGAAACACGACCCCCCAAACAAGCAAACAACTAACTATCCTCTGAGAAGACAGGCATACAAGGGACCCTGGTAAACCGGAGATAGTAGATTTGTGTAGCGCCTGGAACGGGTTTCCTAACTAATTATTGAATAAATTCTACAAGAAAAAATTGTTTGTTCTATTACGTGTGGGGACATTTCTTGAATCGTTCAACACAAGACTCATAAGAAATCCTTTTTTATTGGGCAACGAATTGACAGCATTTTTTTATAGCTGTCAGTTTTCATAGGCCACATGTGGCACGCTTTGAAGGGCCACGGACCATATCCATTTCCATAACTCAATTTTTCAAAGTTGTCATAAACATTTTCGAAGAAGTACACGTGGGTGTGTATTCTGGACATTTTACGCCCGACGTATTAAGATGGAGAGATAAAGTTCAAAGAAAACAATTTTCCATGCCTCGAGTATCATGTTACACAATGTTCTGTTGGCACTTAACAATAATGAGTATATTCCAATGACGTAACATCCGGTGTGACACAGTAAGGGTTCGCTAACAGTCAGCTAAAGATGTGGGGAATTGCAATTTAAAGATTTGAGACGTCTTCAGATATGCTATCTTGTTTTGAGAGGAAGAACGCAAGGCCGGAATGTTAGTTTTAAGTCAGTTCTTAATTCCAAACGGTTTTAGACACAAACAACAGGTTTCACTTTGGTTAACTCTTTCAAACTGCACAACCGTAAGAATTTCTTCAGAATTTACCATTCGAGCCCACTACAGAAAAAACCAGGAATATGTTTAACCTCGAAACACAATTTCAATTTAATACCAAAATCCTGTCCCTGTATTAGAAGTGTGAAATAGGACAACAATCGAAACTGACAATGATGGCTGTTGATGAATATAAATCAATGATCGACCTGTTGTTCGAGAAAAGAGAGGTTATCTGTTACCATTGCAAATCAATAGCAGCCTCATATTTCATAAAACAGTACAAGTATCCCTGGCTAAGGATAGAGTACCCAAAACAGAAATAAGCAAATGTATTCTTCTTTTATCGAATATTGGAAGATTTCTTTTTTTAATATACGTTCTTCAAGTTTAAATGTGTTTACAATTAGAACTCATGGTTCATTTTTTAAGTTTTAACCCTTTACTTTGGCCCTGAAGGGTTAAACGGCACAAGGAATGATATTATCGCCACTGATGGCTGACATAGCAGAAAAAAACATTCCAGGAAAACAAACCCGCTCCTCGTGTGTACCTCGCCAGTAGCGTAACAAGACACCGGGAACATTCATAATAACACAGAGAAAACGGAAGGAGAAAAAACAGACTGGCCTCTCAATGACTGGGTTATTCGCTGAACGTGACAGGTGTTTTTTTATCGAACACTTTTAAGTAGGGCCAGTTATGGCTGGGTGTATGTACTTGAAATATAAGATATCGTGTTCCTGTTGGTTTCAGTTCAAGTTGTGTAAGGTGTAATTCATAACAGACCTTTGGATTTTATGATGGTTCAAAATTTGAATTGGTTTATTAAATGTGAGCTGTTTATTGTGGTTTCCGACATTCAGTGTAAAGATACATATAACATTTTCATGGCCTTTCGCGAGGATTCGTCATTACACGATAGTCACAAATCGCAAAACATTTATTTTCTGAAAACGTTTATACTTTTAGAAAGCAATCCCTATGTTTTACAAAGTATTTATTTTTATATGTCTCAGTAGTTTAAACAGACGTCAAATTTATTTTATAATATACATCTCACCACGGAGGCAATATCCACTTTAGTAGGCGCCAGTCTCTAGTCGCTGGAGTTGTTGACAACGAATTAACATAAATTCGTATTATCAGAACACCTATCTATAGATTTCTTTGACTTTCCAGATCTCCCTGTAGAATAACTAAGCAGAGTCGGGGAACAAATCCCCGCAATATTTACTTCTAACTTTGCAGTCACGCGTGATGAAAACATTCCAAAGAGTTACGTCAGGTCGTCGTTATCTGAATTTTAACTTATCTATAATCTGCCCTGAAATTTTAAGCTGAGTTCAATCGGGTTTTCAGCACAAGACGAGTCGTGTTCATCCACACTACCAAGGTCTCTGCTATCGGAGTCTTAATAAGCTATCTGTGCAAGCACTTGTAAACCACGTGGTGTAAACTACGAACACTTGAAATCGCAAGTGTCTGCGGTACGTACGTAACCTTACGGTCTATAAGTCCCGTGTTTTGTTTGTTTGAAGATTGTCATATCTGACACACGGGCGATGTACTGGGGTTACTCTCATTACCAGGTCTGGAAACTGGGTGTATTCTATCTCCCATGATAAAAAGCGTGTCTGGGAAACTTAGCCTGGGAATTGCTGCGTATGCGCAGCCTCCACGATAGTCTGGTTTAAGCAGCCATAACTAACTGTCATATTTGACAGGTTCTATTACGGCGGTGCGACTACCACTGTCACCACACTCAGTAGCTGTGTTATCCTGTCATGTGGTCGTTGGGTTAGATGATAATTATTCGCCCGCTCCCTAGACACGGGTGTGAAAGTGTCACAGCGGTTTATTGCAATGTAACTCAGGCAAAGAGGTTGTTTCAGCTGGGACCATAAAATGGTCTCTGGTTTCAGAGATTGTATGTTAAAATATGGAAAGTGGCCTTAAAAATGTGATTATATACGAAATCACCTATGGAATGATGGTGCTGTTTTACATAGCAAGAGATGAAATACGAGTGAGTGAGGGGATTTGATTTATTTCCTATTTCACCGATATTTCAAAGATATGGTACGTAACGGTTTAATGTGGGGAAAAAGTATTATAATAATAATAATAATAATAATGTTGATAATGATGATAATGATGATGATGATGATGACGATGACGTGTGGGCAACTTTCCTTATTAGGAATAGAACTCAGGCGTTACGAACGAACCCTGTGGCCACATGCCTACGTCACCGCCCATACGCAGACGAGCAATTGGAACCAGATGTAAAGAGTATTAAAGGCTATTTGGTACACATTACAGTACACTGATAGGAAGGATTGGAAATATTTTGACATTTTATGTACAACACAACTTTAACATGTTCATCCCAGACGCCATATGCACGGATACCTTCAACGCATATCAGAAATATTCACTCAATGAAACCTTTGGAACTAAATGCAGTAGCGACCATGGCCACAAAATGCTTACAGTGCACATTTTTGTTTTAAGGCTAAAACTGCAAACTGTTGAGGTAATTACTGCGACCGCCCGTACAAAGATACGCATTCAGACTAAACCCAAACCTTATCGAGAAATCTAGAATCAACACATCTACACAGTATACTACGACAGTTAGTGTGGGGACGGTTTTTCCATATGGGGGGTAGAGGTACGCACACACACATCACCCTACCCCGTCCCGGCCTTGGTACACAGGTACGACTTACCCCACCCTTCCCCCGCAGTCTTACCGAAATATTTCTTTCGTCCCACCTTCCATTCTCTCCCAACTCAAACCACCTGCACACGTCCGAAACGACATTCCAACTGCACACAATATACTTGCCGGTCTTATTTTCAAGTGTGCACACGTCATATTGCATACCTAATGCAACACAATCTCAGCGTGAAGACATTCGAAATATGAAATTGTTCAGATTTATTTTCCACTTCACGTCAGCCCCACTTCAACCACGTCCCAGAGCTCTTTGGTAGTTTAATGTCTTTGCTGAGGGATTGACCCCCCCCCCCCCCCCCCCCGCCCCCCCCCAGTAGCGGTGACTCCCTGGTTGACGACAGAAATCTCATTAAGACAGTGCAATTAAACTGAATGCGCAGCACATTTTTAAGTTCTCAACCCTTGTGAAAAATGGATTGTCATTTGTAATTAAGGTGGTCGTCAGCTACAGAACGCACTGATGGTATTATGCGCACTCAAGTCTAGTTCAGTCAGAAACTAAAGCAGTTAAGTCGTAGAACACAAGAGCTACTGATCTCTGTTTCTCGTGATAGGAACATTATGGGACGTCAACACTTAAGCGACTCCTTAAGCGGACGAACTATTCTCGACGAGTAATTGTACATTTTGAGTGTATATAGAAGGACCTGGCTGAATCTTGTTTGAGCCTATAGAGTAGGGTGTGGATGTGACCTCAGAATCTGTTCATCAGTGATATGTCAGAATTATGAACAGTACGTATTCATCTTGCTTGTATTGTACTGATAAATACAATCATATCCTAATACAATCATTCACGTGACGATCATGAAAATGTTTGTGTCGCTACTTTCGGATTTTTAGACACGTTTCTTAAAGCATTGTGACTATCCTACAGATGATTATAAAATAATTTAACTGATATTATTAGCAGGCGTCTTTTAAGGTCCACTTTATAAGCCCTCATGTGATCACACTGATCTGACAGGTCTGTCATCTTTGCTCAGCAGTCATAATTTTCCAACATTTTTTTTTATAATGGAATGTGGGCAATGCCAGAAAAATGCACAGTAAATCTTGACACATGGACTCTCGATGAAAGAATAAGTAAATGTCTACTCACCCATAACAACCACCAGGACAACAGCAGCCACGTACAGGTTGAGGAAGAAGAGTGACACCTTGGCAAATGTCACCATTGACCTTATCATTCTCATGATGACGACTCTCTCGGTTCTCCCTCCGCTATCTGAACATTTCTCTGCAAGATAAGAAGCGCGATAAAGTCGAATGTACTCCAGATCCTTGCTACCTTCTTTAGCTGACGTCATTATCAAAATTCATTGAACATATATATATCCCTTTAAACCTCCGTCTTCTGCTACGCGCACTGTCGTCTGCTACTGACAGTGCGAGCAGACGAGAATATAGCACGTGGCACGCGAGGCTGTCAAAATGCGCTGTCGGACGGACGGACTTTCCTTGTTTCAACGGATTTGATCCCTTCTGCAGACTAGAGTTTGGGGAGAGCTAATGAGGGGGAAAGGTGAGGCGTTAAGAGGGGAGGAGGGGTTTGAAGGGGGTGGGTGAGAGGGGTGATTATAAAATCTCATCACGATGTGGAAACACTTTACAAAGGCGGAAATAACAAAACCACTGCACACATGTTAGAAATAAAAACCGCGGCGTAATAAACATGGAAAAGAATGGGAAACGAAACTTTCTTTAACAAAAATGCATTCCGATTTTAAAACTCTGCCACTCACTGGTATGCACGCATGGGTTATATAAATAGCTGTTTTAGAACAAGTAGCCATTAATGCGCACGTGCTCCATACGTATGTGAAGGTACGTGAAGAACGTGAGGTATTAACCAATGTCATACTTATATACTAACACAACATACCAGAATCCATTTTCAACACTCAGAGCTTTCAAATCGAACCGGTTAACAAAAGGCACTGGTCTCAAGGCAGACAGCATAAACACCTCGCTGAGATCTCGGATGGCGGTTTGGGAAAATTATGTCATGGACAACTGGTAAACGTATTTTCTCAAACCTTAACTACAGTCAGACATGGTACCAGATGGCCGGGTTCATTTTAGTAGGAATACAAACAAGATGGATTAGATTAGGCGTTACACGTTATGCTGTCGGACGTCTATATTCAGGAGTAGATATCTGTTGTGTCGATCACGACAAGAAAACATTACATGGACAACTAGCCGTCTGTGGAATAATGGAGGTGGGGTTAGGACTTAAGAGGCCGGTTGGGGAGTTGGAGGCTGATAAAAACACGAGTTACCTGGTAAGCTCTGTGTGATGATACCAGAGGCTTTACGCAGGTGAAGCGTTGCCTGTGGAGGCGGATTCGTGATTTTGTTTGAAAAAGGGCGGGGCACACTGGATAAGACACGAAATGGACTGAGAAGAATAGTTTGATACAAGAGTCTGAAAAGGGGTGCGTGATTTAGAGGTCGGGGGAGTGTCCAGTGACCTGGGTGATGGCATTGAGCAGGGATGTATGTTGATGACGGTGTAGTGATGCGGAAGGGATATTACTGTCATGTGTGATGGTATACATGATCACTATCACACGGGAGGTCACAGCTCCGCGCCATCACGGGACAGAAGGAATACCAGGATGATACCAGTATACCAAGCTGTGATCAGGGGTTCGAATCTCATCTTCCCGTGGCAAGAGCGTTAAATGACTACAAAGGTCCAGTTTCCACCCTTGCCGAATTAGGGGGCACGGGTGGCCCAGTCGTCTAAGGCGCCGCGATTTGCTTTGCAGAGTTGCGTCCCTTCGGATACGCCAGAAACCTATGATTGTGGGTTCGTATCCCGATTCGCCCCGATTATGTTTCTAGGTTTGTCAGCACCATACCCGTGCTCGTGGGTTTCACCGAAGTGGTAAACGTCTGAGACCTGCATCACTTCGGGCTTTCCTCCCACATTAAGCTGACACGCCGCGATATAACTGTAATACTGTTAAAAGCGGCGTTAAACCCAACTCACTCACTCACTCACTTGATGTTTCTAGGTTTGTCAGCACCATACCCGTGCTCGTGGGTTTCACCGAAGTGGTAAAGGTCTGAGACCTGCATCACTTCGGGCTTTCCTCCCACATTAAGCTGACACGCCGCGATATAACTGTAATACTGTTAAAAGCGGCGTTAAACCCAACTCACTCACTCACTCACTTGCCGAATTAGGCTGGAATTTCGACCGGTGGCTATTACGAGTTCCTTCTATGCCCTCGTATTGACCAATCAGATTACATCGCTCATGTCACTTACATTTGCTTCAAACAAATTGACAGACGATCTGATGGTACACATGTTTTGCAAATCCTGAAGTCATTCGAAGTCTGCATCTATGTTGTTTTACGAACCGGATGTCGAGTTCGTTGCACGATTGTGATTGGACTATGCATAGACTCGTTAATCCAGCCAAAACTACGGAATTTCAGCAAGGTTCGGCAAGGGTGGAATTGGACGTTTACAGTCAGTTAAATCCCTTGCCTCGGGAAGATGGATTCGCCATTATGTTTCTAGGTGTGTCAGCTCGTGGGTTTTACCTGTATCACCCCGGGCTTTACTCCCACGCCAAGCTGACGTGCGTCGGGGGGTCGGGGATCCGGGATCCGGAATTTAAAAAAGGTGGGGGAGGAGGATGGGGTCCGCTTGGATCATTTGTAACCAAATCAAGATGTTATCATGGTAGGCAATGCGTATACACAATGTCATCAGACATAAAAAGGATGGGTTGCCACTCCACAAACACACCCGAAATTCCATTCATGGTGGCGTGAACCCCAACTCACTCGGTCGCTCTTAACATCAAGTGTGAAACAGCTCCATCGGGACCTCTCGTAAAACCTCATCGGACCCCCCCCCCCCCCCTCTCTCTATGATCATCATCAAGCTGATTTTGTCGGGCCGGCGTTATACTTTTCGCCGTTGTAAAATCATAAACACGGGGACGGATATCACGCATCACTGAACTGGCATAACGATATCTGGCTCACGCCGGTTCCATCGAACTATTTTGGGCTAGTTTTAATCTGAAATAAAGTAAATCTTGGAGTGCGTTCAACGACATGTAACGAAACGCCGTCTTCGGAGGCAGCCTTTCTCTAAAATGTATTTTAAGCCCAGCTGAAAGAATACTCGTTGCATGTTGTTTAAACGGATTACATGCGTCAATGACTTCGGGACACAATCCACAATTGGGTGTTTTCTTAACAGTCTTATCGTGCAAGTGTTTGCCTGGAGGGCTGCTTGGCAGTATTCCATGAGCTTAACAACCGCAACAATTAAACACAATGTCAGAAATGTCTATGTCACATTCGTCAATATCAACCAAGGCACAACATTTTCTCCGACACATTTTGCCCGGCAAAACCACCGGCAGCTCACCTGTCCAATCAACGGTTTAGCTGTTTGATTGGCATTCTGACTATTTTCAATTTTGTAAGACGTTGCGTTATAGCGAGAAATACGGTGCATTACGTGTATAGCTGTAATGAATAAAATGAAACGACACCCTTTGAAATTGTATATAGGAAATAGACGCAAATATGTGGAATCCCCGATAAAGAATGTCGATTGTATTTGTACTCCACCAACCGCGTTATGGCGAGGGAGACTGGAATTGACTTCAGGTGGAGCAAGAACGTAGGGTATTTAAAACACAAGTACTTGCGCAACTTAGGTTTAGCAGTCAGGGAAATCGTTCACGGTATTTAGAGCTTTGGAGCAATGATGCAGTTCGCCTGTGATATATCATTACAGCTATATTCCCTACAGTTATGTTAAGGTTATTTCTGGCCGATGTGCTTGCAGTTAGGGGGGCATGAAGAAACTAACTGTTTAAGACCATGTCGACAGTTCGACACACCTTCAGTTTACACGGGCGGCCATCTTGAAACAAAAAGTGATCGTTGTCTATGTTGTTTCTTCAATATCCGTTTTGTGAACGTTGAGACTTTGGCTTATAAGTAGTATTTAAACTCAAGATGACAAATAGATCATCAGATCTTAAAAACTGGATTCTTTTAGTCGTCGATTATTTTGGGAATTCTTCTGAAGATTTAATAGCATTTTAAATCTCACTGTATCTTAAAAAGCATGTCGGAGATGCTTTTGAAAATAACACATGTTGCTTTCCTCAACAGCAACTGTTATTGTTATATATTATTACGCCCATTATTTCACTGGTTAATTAGAGGGGTAATATGACGGCAATTGCATGGTGTATTTCCGAGGCGGAAATCTGTGTCACTGTGCCGCAATCGTTTGTATATATCCGCTTTTCAGTGGGTCAGTAATAGCACCTAGTTACAAAAGAACAACTTGGCCTTCATACAAGATGACAAAACCACGTACGGATATACTCCTATCGGCCCCTGATCCAAAATGGCAGTTCTATTTTTTGAAATGCTCATGTAAATTCTTTTCAATGAGTGATGTCTTAATAGATTACTAAAGAACGACATTTCTCACACATAAAATACGGATGTTGCGGTTTAACGTTGACTAGGCTCTGTCTACAGATGCCATCGGGGGCAGTGAAACTGGATGTCAGCACAACTATAATATGATGCGATATATGGTACAGATTCCTTTTCTTAAAAACAGACGGGTAACTGTAAACAGAAAGGTTTGTACAAGTACGTGTTCATTCTAATTACGTTAGAAGCTCACGTAAAAGATCAAAATAGCCGTATTTAATTAAATGACTAAGCCCCTCAAGGTGGGCTCGGTTCAAAAACAATTACAGTCCTAAAGGTTTAGAATAGGGTATGTCACACGATGTCATTGTTTGTTACACAACTCACAATTATTATCTAGTTCAGTTTGGCTTTAAGTGGCTACCGTTTTTGACAGTGTTTCAAGTTCACACACGGTACATATTACTTTGTCTAGACCTTGACTGGGGACTTGATTAGACCTATCCAACCTAACTGTCTCGCAAATTTTGCAAATATTTATCAAAATGAATAAGAACGGAAGAGAACGTATAATATATATGTAGAAATAATTACTTACATGCCCTACGAGTTACATGCCCTGGGTTCACACGCCTGAGATGGCATATACTGGTAACATTCCATTCCAAGACACGCAAGATTCTGAGGAACTCGGTCAAACATAATTATCTGAGAACGCATTTCCGAACCAGGAACACCGATTCAGATTACACTTCCAAATTTGAAAATAATAGTACGAAAATATATTCACAGACGAAACAGT